CTGTTAGTTCCCGAGATGTTCCTGGTGCTACCGGTAGCCCTTGTGGTGCCGTAGAGGCTGCCTTAAGCCCTTCTAGGACCATTGGTATTGATTTTTCAACAACAGATTGAATTATATTTTCATAAACATTAGAGGAAGCTAACGTCTCTCTAATTACACGTTGGATCAAAGTTTGCTGCTCACCTTGTTTATCATTAATTGTCTCCATGATATCAATCAATTGTTGCACTTTACCATTGATGTACTTTTGAACTTTTAGGTTTACATTTCTGTCTGTAGTATTCATATAAACTCTAATGTTTTCTTGAATTTGACGTCCATCGTGTAGGAGAATATCTTCTATTCTAGCCTTTCCAGACTCTTCACGGGAATCAGGAGATCCCTTTCTTTGCCGTTTAGCGGTAGACCTTGGATGCTTTAAGATCTGTTCTTCTTCCACTCCTTCCTCCATAGCTGTTTCGGTGCTGTTAGACATGTCACAGCAATGTTATTTGTCCAAAATTTGTAACAAAATATGTTATAATGATGGGCAAGTAATTAAAATAAGTGTTTATAAAACTTAACCTAAAGTCGTTATTGACTATTAAAATTCCTTTTGGTTAACAAAATTACACTGAATGTTCAAGGGTTTTCTTACCTTAGAATGCACCAAATCCTGCACTGTAAGCCGGTCTCTAAAAGTTTATTTAGAAAAGTTACAGTGATGGAGGAAACCGTGAGATTAACCTTCACTTCTACTGTTCCTATTTACAATAACTAAAACTACTTATATCATAATAAAATCATGTCCAATAACGAAAAAACAACAACAAGAACGAAAATTACAACAAAAACAACACAAAAACTAACTGCAATCACTTGAGAACGTAATAGAACACTTTGAGCTATTCGCCACCATATGCCCATATCGTCCGTTTTAGCCCTGAAGAAGACCTGCAAAGTCGGGTCGAAACGTTGGCTTTTAATAAAATAGTTTTGCCACTATTCAACCTATTTATTACCGCCACCCCGGACCATTTCCTTCCTTTATAATGCAACGGTCAACTATTAAATATTCAATATGACTAAAAATCTATACTTGGTAGTCTATTTGATTTCATAGTGAGAATCTAAATAAAATCAAATTAATATTGTTTCTCACTTGAAATCCAATGATTCTAAAAATGGAGAACTGTATTGATGCGTCCAGTCTTTTTACAACTACTCAGGGGTGTCCAGAAGGAAGTGTGATGTTGCAAGATGCGCCATTTTTCAGAATGAAAAGTTCTATGCTAAGGGACATGGGGAGAACAAGAAACAGACCCCAGCAAGTGTAGTTGTATATGATCTACGATTTTTCTAATTCTTCCTTCACTTGATCTGTTTTTAAGAATAGGTGAGTAATAAAATATCAAGAGTGTTAAGATAGGTTCTTGCACCATCGATGTTGGGGGGATGGGCACTCCTGCTCCTACTGCTATTGTTAAGATCAATAATGTTTTAAATAACTGAAAATTTTTAATCAGGACTAATTTACCACCACCTGCGATTCGCCAAGAGCCGTGCCATTGTGGTCCCGGAACATGCTTGGGCTTCGGCCGCTCTTCGGGCATCATCTGCCAACGAATCAAAAGGCTCCCTCCGTCGGCCTCTTCTTCGGAATTCTTCAGGGAGTTCACGAGACCTGCCTGGATCAGCGGGTCATTCCGACCTCTCTCCATCTTGTCCGATCCTGAGGACATCTACGGGGACCGGATGCATAGGCGTCCTTCTTCCACCATAAGTATCAATGACGATGATATGTCCAATAAACAAGATTCAAATTGACATTTTTAGTTAGTTGTATGTTTATCCTTTTTTTTTTTTTTTTTTTGCGGAAGTGAAATTAGTTGGTAACTTGTGGCACGGTGGGCCACAAATCAAATCTGAATTTATTGAGAAAAATTTATTTTGGTATACAAAATAAATTTGGGACCATAGTGATACTGATAAGTTTGGATTTATATTCAAACAGACACTTAAAAAATCGAACAAATGCATCCGGGGTTGACAGGAAGTGCATATCGGTGTGGGTAAAAGCACCAATAGTTGACTGAGTACCAGTACCTGACATCCTTCTCGACTAATGGAAATAATAAAATTTCAGGACCTTCTAGACCTCTATTTCATATATTTTTAGTTTCTATATTGTCTCCTTGTAGGTAATGCGTACCGAAAAAGGGTTGGATCTTGGTGGGACAATATCCGTGCTGGGCTATGCTGATGATCTAGTAATCTTAAGCGAAGACGTGGAAACTATAAAACTAAATACGACAACGTTAATGAAAGCCGGTAAATAACTAGGCCTCGAAATTAAAGCGGATAAAACAAAATATATGGTTAGCTGCAAGAATGGCGATACTACTGGTGATATCGTTATAGATGGTAATATGTTTGAACAGGTAGAGAAATTTAGGTATCTAGGTTCTACGATAACTAGAAAAAACGAAATTGAAGAAGAGATTAAGGTTAGACTGAAGGCAGGAAATGTTTGTTATTTTTCTGTAACAAAATACTTAGCTCGCGCCTCTTGTCCCGGAACTTGAAAATTAGAATCTATAAAACCATTACCTTACCTACAGTTCTTTATGGATGCGAAACTTGGCCGCTTACATTAAGGGATGAGCAGCGTCTTAAGGTTTTTGAAAATATTGCGTAGAATATTCGGACCCAAGAAGGATGAGTATTCATCCAACCGGAGAGTTCATTGCGTGAACTGTATCCGAGTAATATAATGAGGTAATTTCATCGCGGCGAATCAAATGGGCTTGTAAAATTGTTGGGCTTAGTAACGAGAGAATTCCTAAAAGGTTAAAATTTGCTGTACCGAATGCTAAATGTCCGAGGGGTAGACCGAAGCGAAGGTGGGAAGATTGCATTAAAGCCGATATGAAGGGACTGGGTTTGGACGGAGAACGGTGGAGGGGGGAGGTGTGTAGACAGCGATTGGTGGTGTCGGCATCGAACCTCCGGGTTCGCTAAGCCTTTTATTTATTTTATATTGTCTCCTTGTATATTTGTCTGCTTTGCTTTAGTCTTTAGGGATTTCGCAACTTAAATAATGAGTGACAATTTAGAAAGGTCCCTCACGGTCCACTTAGTGTCCTAGGTATCAGTAAGAGCACCATACCTTAGGTTTGCCTTTTTCTCTTAAACTACTCTGATTTATCCCAACATTTTTTTGTTTGATTGTTTTTGTAGTGTTTTAAATGGTGTTTTAACTTATCTTTATGAAGGAATTTGATATTCAATAGATGTCAGCTACTGGAACATTATAATCAGAACTTTTGCCAGTAGTTGACAGGCCTTTATTCTTATAAATTCGAAGAGATGTTCTCAATATAACGGTTCATAAAAATAAGACCATTCACTACTGTCTCGTTAAAAAAAAATTCTAATGATTTAGATTAAATATAAAGTAAAAAAATCTGATGTGTCCACTCACACGACTTTCCTACCTATTTCAGAAAAGTATTTATATCTTTACATATGTTCATGAAGAAACAAAAAAGAATTGAATTATTGAAGAATTTTTCATTTTCCTGAAAATTGATCAAACAATAGATTTGAGTACGATTTAATTGATTTATTTTTCGTACTAAGGGGGCTCTGAAACATAGATCCGTCGAAAACCGCATGTCGGACATTTGACCCGATCGCAATACTTTCCTTACCTAGTATAGGTAGGAAAGTAATGTTAAAAAAATGTGTAAAAAATAGAATAAGCTGTATCATCGCTAATACTGGTTCGATTCCGATGAATTTTTTTTCGTCTTATTGGTAATTTAATTACCTTTCAAAAGTTTCATTATAAATTTTACCGTATAATATATACTTAGGGAGTTAGGCTCCATAACATTTTTCTTTTCTTTATAACTTTTTTTCCTGAATTTAGTCTATATACGAAAATTGAAAGAACAATGATTAGAACATTATAGGAATGTTTCATCAAAATCGTTAGAGCCGTTTTTCGCGCATGGAGCCCCGAATTTCTGTCACAGGCATCAGTAGTCAAAACTCTACAAAATAAAAAAAGAAGCAACAAAATCGGTTCAGTAGTTTACCGAGAAAATCTTGGCACAGACAGACAGACCAATGGCTAAAAATGTGTTTTTCGAACTCAGGGGTCTCTGATACGTATAGATCCGTCGAAAACCGAATGTCGGAAATTTGACCCGATTGCTATACTTTCGTTTCCTAGTATAGGTAGGAAAGTAATAGGTTTTCCTATTGCCAAAAAAAGGTTGTTGGAAGTGATGAGCATTTATTGATAAATTTAAGTTGGAAAACGGAAGAAGTTTTATAATAAGTTAAAGGTAATCTTTGTTAATCTTAAAATAAAGAATATGAAATTTAGATTTATTACATCCTGATTATCATCCCTGTCAGCTATAGGAACATTTCAAATCAAATAGTGTCAGCTAATGGTACAACAAAACTATTCTCTTAATTTTCAATTTTTTAAAAATTAGATGAATGTTTCATGAATTCGGAATATGTCTTGATAAGTTGAGAAATAGTTCTATAAGATAAATCCACGAAAAATATAATAATATCAATACTTTAGTTTTTACACGTAAAAGTTCAAATAAATTTCATTAAGCATGTCAGCTATTGGTGCGTTTACCCTAACGTTATGTATAGATTAATTTGAAGTTGATTTGTGTGATGTGGAGCGAACCAGTTAATTTCCTTTAGTCTGATGCTCTTAAGCTCATAATTCTTTTCCTATAATATTACTCTAAAGGTTCTTGTATAATAAATAAATAAATATTTCATTATTATTATTTATCTATAATATACAACAGGTACAGTAAATGTGCTCAAATAGTTTATCGTGGTTAAATTCAGTACATCAATTTTATAATATTAAGTGTTAACATTTATATTATCTAACAACTACTTTTCATATAATGAGTTCCTATACAATGTTTCATGTTTACTTCACTAAAGAAAATTTTATAAAATAATTTCTGAGTGTTCTATGCTTTAGCTTGTATAAGAGTGTAATAGGAATAAGAAGCCCGAAGCACCTAAAAAAAAAAAAAAAAAAAATACAATTAAATATTAAAATAATTTAATTTTAAATTATATACATTTGTATAATAATTAAACTATGCACAGTTATAGTTATGTAGTTTTAAAATTAGCACAAAAATATTAACTTACCGCAAGGAAAGTCTCCATATTTATTTCAACCAATCCTAATGCTTTATATTTGATTGTTTTCTGTGACATCATAAGAGGTAGAAACCAATCTCTATTGTTTTTACCAAGAGGCTCAGTCAGTGAAAAATGGCATATACCAATACCGAGATTTTCGTTCTAAAAATTTTTTTATTTTAGTTGAAACTGTATTATATTTATAACCGGATTAGCTATACTGATACTTTATTAATAATTATTAAAACAAAATAATATTATATTTACCGCTTGATTTGCTACATGGCTCTGCCAACAAAGAGCTAATAGTTCCAGCAGAGACATAGTAGAATAAGCCAAGAAATTTACTTCGTATTCCGATTTTGCTGTTGGCTGTAAAAGAACAATATTTAAAATATCTCTTGATGCATAATAAGTATGTAAGCTACAAATCGTGGAGAGTAAATTAGATCGAGCCGTCAGATCTCCGATGTGTAACGCTCGGGTAAAGTCTGCTAGAGTCGACTAATCGAAGTGTTTTTGCATATGGATTAAAATATCTCAAAAACTAAAATTTGGACCTCCATATCGTTAGCGAGGGAAATGTTCATAATTTCATCCTCTTTGTAATGAGCTATTATTGAAAATTTTATCTCAGCGCGAAGCCGTGTTAGAGAGGTGAAAAGGGAAAAAATAGTGTCGAAAATCAAATTGTAACGAGTTTTATTGAAGATATGGATTAAAATATCTCAGAAACTAAAAATCGGACCTTCATACTGTAAGCGAGGGAAATATTCAGCATTCCGTCCTCTTAATATTGAACTATTATTTATAATTACATTTCTTATTATTAATCTCGCCTTGTTGATCTTTTGAGTTCTATGGTGTAGTGTAAAAAACACATCCTTTTTGGTCTTCCCTTTCTTGCCTCTTAGGCTACACGGTTTTTTCCCAGGATGGGGAAGAGGTGGGGAGATTTATGCCGAGTTAAAAGTTCCACCGGGCACTGGGATTTGAACTCATAATTATTTGTCTATCTGAAACTTCGGTTATCAGATTGCCAGACAACGCATGATGCTGTGCACACGCCTTAGCCCGCTCGGCCATCTTGCTCGCCTATAAATTTACTAGTGTATTATTTATTTTAGACTAATAATGAATAAATTCAGTATGCTCCAGCGCGAACCGTCGCGTTAGACGGCGATACTTCTACGTTATGCATGAGACTTATAGGTGACATCAGCCAAACCTATAAACATCAAAATGGTCTATCTAACAAACACAATCGGTGAAACTTTATACTTTACCACGCATGTTTATTAAAGTTACAATTTATTAAATAGTGCTCCTCTGGAAAATATCCTTCCGTTTTAATAGTTAAGTAATAAGACACGGCTATCCTGAACTTTTATTAATTATATTAATATTAATATAATTAATATTATATAAATCTATTATCGTACTTGCTGAAGACCTGATCGTTTGTTGTAGAAGATACTTGACTTGTTGTACCCTCACGTTTTAAGAGTATAGAAGTGTGCTACTGAGAATGTAGAGATCATATTTGGATATTTTTTAATTATTATTTTTTTATTACGTATTTATATAATATGTCTTTAGCACTAAATCTCCTAACTTAGTTAAGCTAAATTCTACTTTTTTATTTATTTATTTTTTATTTTATTATTTTTTTATTTTTGTTCTTGTTCTTCCCTGCCTCGCCTTTTAGGCTATACGGGATTTTCCCGGGCCGAAGGGTGATGGCAGAGAATTTAAAATCCCCTCCGGCACCGAGACGCGAACTCGTACTTTTTAAATCATCTCAAATCTTGTTATCCGGTTGCCAGGCAACTCGCGGTGCTGTGCACACGCTTTAGTCCATTCGACCACCCCGCCCCCTGTTAAGCTAAATACTATGTTACCTGAACAACATTTGCACCAGATTGCTATTATGTAAAATTAATTTTTATAACAACAAATTTGGAACATTCTCTTCCTCCCCCCTTGTTCAATGTTGTTCAGCTATACCAATGTTAAAATCTGGTCACCTTACTCTTATCGTATTCGCTCAAGACCGATTTGTTTGGCAAAAGATCCATGGTTACTAGTTGTCCCACAATTTCTGAATAACAAATTACAATTTCGGAGTAGATAAAGACCATTTATTAATTTTTCTAGTCGTACTTTTTGGCCTACTTAGACACACGAGAAGCTCGCTCACTACTTAGTAGATGTACCAAGCTGTAGTTTTATTAAACGCTCATCCGGCCAGTTCTTACCGAAAAATATGTACCGTTTCTTAAGTTTTTCTTGGAGCAAGTTATTTTTAAGAGTACGTACTTTGGTGTGAAATCAATTGACGTGTAATTATTTAGTATGGTTTAGAATTATTAAAGGTTGGCAGGAGAAACAATTTATACAATAAAAAAAATATATTGATTGATAAAAGTATAAAAATATGTGCGCTGCTCAGTATACCTAATACTTAGAAATCTACATATTGTTATTTATTTTTTTATTATTTTTTCTGTTTTTAAAAATTAAAAAAATAATTTAAAAATAAACGTTTTTAATGAATTTAGCTCACATGAATTTAGCTCAATTTTAATTAGGAAACAACAATATCTTGTTACTATTACAGCATGAAAAAAAAATTAAACCTAACTGCAAGGAAGGGTTGTTCTATCGTATTTAATCTATGTTCAGACAGTTAAATAACAATAAAAAATATGGCTTTTTTGTCTGTAAAAAGTTTTCTCTTGGTTGCTCGAGTTATAGATTTAAGATTCTGCATGTTTAAACTCATATACATAAGTTAAAAAAATAACAACTTTTCCCACATTTGTCGTAATAAATTTCCCATCTCAAGTTACATATGTAGACATATGGAGCAGAACTTTGATGTTCAGCAAAACAAACACGCATAAACAAAATACAAACAGCACAATCTTACGAAAAATTGTTAACGCACCTTGGTACATTTCAAATATTATTATACATAACGACTTAAACACCCCAACAGTAAAATCCTACATCCACGACAAATACACTGCATTTCATTCTTCAACCCAAAATCACTCCAATTCTCTGGTTCTTTCTGTCTCCTGTTCCTTGTTACCTGAACAACGGAGATTAAAAAGAAAATGGCCAAGACGCCTACTATACCAATAAGAACCATATCAGGCAAATACACAAAGACAATACAAACACAACAAATTTGCTAGATGCCCAGCTCCGCAGCTGCAAACTGCATAAAATATAAATAAATAAAAAAGTTACATGCCTAATATTCCTAAAAGCGTCTCTGGAATGGCAGGCAGGGTACATCTTACTTATAATAACATGCACATTCGTAATTTATATTCAAACCTTCGCCTGCGATCAGGTCGATTTTTGGACCCTGGCTCCAGGGATATAAGAGGTCTTCAAAGGAAGTCATCAATAATTGATATTCTTAATATGAGGTCTGTGGGAAAGGGATCTTTTGCCAACACTTTTTTTTGCCTAAATCTAGATACGGAGTCTAATTGTGTCCTGTCGGGTTCTTTTAGATAACTATTTCCAAACTATCAGAGGAAGCCTTGCCAAGGGACCCAAATGGGTTATAGGAATTGTTAATATATGATTCACTTATTGGAACAGTTGATAAACTAAATTATTTGAATAACGGTTATATTTATTATTTGTAACGAATTAAGTCCATTGTGTAACTATCGAATGTATTACGGAGAGTAGCTATCGAAAGTGGAAGTTCTCGCTGGGATTAGTGATCTATTATTTTAATACTTGGTTTTATGAAGCTCTAAAAAAAATAATTTTAACTTGCTAACTCCAAAAGACTATTTACTTGCTATTTTTACATATGCCAATGGAAGCTTACTTTAGCAATTACGTATGTGGCACATGCTGTGATGAATATGGTCTGCATCATCTGGGCTCCCACTATCGGGCCAAGTATGTCCCGAAGCATGTGAGTCATCCTGGAATGAATTAATATTGGTAATTACAAAAAATAAAAATTTTATATTTTTTATTTTTGAAATTTACAACTGTATAATGATAAATACAACAAAGAAATATGAAATAAGTAACTTGACATATACAACATGAAGAGAAACTACCCATTGGTAGATCTCCAATTATATTTCTATATTACAAAGTCCCGAGGCCATCTTCTTTTCAGACGCCTCGGAGGGTTATCAGGAATAGAAGAGGAAGAAAGGTTGGAAACAAGAGGATTCGGATGGTTCAGAAGTTTATTATGGATGGACAGGTATCTGGATTGAGCTAAATCGGAAACATATGGTTCATTAAGGTCGTTATGGATGGTTTTATTTGTGACAAAGTAGGGAGCATTGAGAATTTTACGAAAGATTTTGGATTGTAGGGAATGGATACGAAGCTCGTTCAATCATAAAGCTCGATCCCGTAAGTTCAAATAGGCCTTATTATAGTAATATAAATGAGCCTTTTGTAAATAGTTGGAAGTTTAGAGCTTTTGCCTAGTAAGTGCGGCAGTAGTCCAAAACCTCTGGTCGGTTTCTACTCGTTTCAGTCTGGTATGGGAGTAAAAATAAAAATAAATTAAAAAAAAACTATGCAAATTATTTCACAATGGTTTATTATTTCCAGACAATTATACATCTAAAGTAACATTACCTTCCTAGTTACAAAGAAAAATAAATAAAAGGTGATTCCAATTATTGGACTAAACTTTTTTTTTTTTAATCATTAGTAATATGCAAAAAAAAATTAGCATTACTTCGGTAACACATTCAAAATTCAAAAAAAAAAAAATAAAGGATATAACCTTAGCAGCAGAACAAATAAAAAAAAAAACTAGAGGCCATATATTTGCTCCTAATTGTCCGATTTTTTTTTTTGGTGGGGGGGAGGGTGAATTCCGTAAAGTTTTAAAAAACCATATACAATATTGACAAAAAACGGTATACTTTTTGAGTTATTGGGAATTTAATTTTATAAACCCTCGTAACTTTTTTTTTCAGCTTCTTTTCATTGAAGTATGTTATATAGATAAATTTAAAGGGCGTCGAGAAAATGACTTTAGCGAAGTTTCATTGAAATCGGTACATTCGTTAAGGCGCTACAGTCTATATCAACGCACGTTTTTCGGCCGCCATTTTTTAAATAAATGGCGGATAGTAATGTCGATGAAGGAAGATCATCCTCGGGTGAGCTCCCTTTTTATATCGAAATTTGAAAAAAAATCGGTCCAAAAGTTTCGGCAAAAATGTGCGGAAGGCGTACGGACAAAAAAATTTATATTCGTTTTTCGAATTCTGCGTATCCTGAAACGTAAAACCTCAAATTTTGAAGTTTTTGAATTTTTTGGTCGATCACAATGGTTCATTATTGAAAATAATAAACCAAAATACCTAAGTTCATTATGTTTGATACATTTTAACAAGTCTAGCTTAGCTTGTTAATTTATTATAATAAAATGATGAATTTATTCCCAACCGGGGCGAAGACAAAAGGAATGTTTGATTTCATCGTTCGATCTATCCACTAAAAGGTATGTAATGATTTTTTAAGTTAACGGCTTGACTGATTTTTAGATTAGGTGGTTCAAATTATTCGGTTTGAATTTTAAAAATATTTTGAGTGAAACCGTGACAAATGATTGTATGAAATATGTTTTGAACCATCCGCTACAAGTTATGTAACGATTTTCTGGGCAAACGGGTGGACCGACTTTTAAGTTCGATGGTTTAAATTATTCGGTGAGATTCCGTGGTTTGAACGATTTGAGCTCTAAATATTGACAAAAATGTTTATTTTGAATATTCTTTAACGTCAATTTCCCTAACAATCTTCCAAGGAGTTTAAGTAAATACTTAAGTACATTCTTTAGGATGGATAGGGTTACTTAAATAGTCGTGTGTCTTGTGCTTTTAACTTATATATTTTTTCTTATTTATTCAATAATACCTGATTAATTTAACATGGTCTTGGACAAATCCTTTCAAATCCAACGGTTCTCTGCAATCCGTTCCACGATGTCTCCTTCCAAGAGAATTCTTCAGTATTTGATATTGCTTCTTCAGCAATATAGTTACACCGAAGCATAAGACATTCATCGTCACCCATATGGAAATAAATACCAATGCTAATACGATGTGATAGCTCCAACTAAAAATAAAATATTATTTTTAAAGAAGAAGAAAATCCTTGTAAATCATAACACAGTGATTTACCCCGCTTTGGGGGGAGGGGAGAGAGGGGGGAGGCATGCGTGTGTTACAGCATTTTTATATTATTATTTATTGAACACGTCCACTGTACTTTATGTATTTTTTATGTATTAGGTTAGAAAGAGAGAGGAGAGAATATGAGGAGTGGGAACATGTATAGGGGGTGAGAAGAAAGAGAAAGGGTACAGAATGATAATAAATGAATGAAAGAAATAGTAAAAATAAAAAAAAAAGGAAAAAAAATAAAAATTATATATATATATATATATATATATATATATATATATATATATAATATATATATATATGTATAAAATATTGTATACTATGCTCATACATATTGTTAATCCTATATAATTGTATAATAATTTTAAATAATGTCTGTAGTGATTAATAAGTATGCTGTGTTGTGAGCAACCCAATGTAATTAGGCAGCACCATTTTATTTTATGATAATAAAGTGATTCTCACTCTCTCTCTCTCTCTCTCTCTCTTGTTTACCTAGATAAGAACTAAACTTTGATATTATTATTTTAACTGTATATAACCATCCTTTATTTTCGCTCTAATCTAAATAAATAAACAAACACAACACCGTTAAATGAACTATAGTTTAAAATTAAATAAAAGGTGGTTACAATCAGTACCTGTATAAGACGTCATCAAGGAAAACTAAAACACTTTTATTTACTTGTTCCACTAATATTACTGTCTGTTAGTAATAAAATATGATATTTTCAATATCCTAACCTTTGTTTATTTAAAATGTCATTATAATTTCATTATGGTAAATTGAATCTGAGAGTATTTCGTTGAACCTTTATGACTTGGATCTGTATCAGTTATTCTTAATATAATCTTTGAAATTAATGGGAAAAAATTTATTTTTCTTCCTCACTATCGAAAGTAGGGAAGCATTGTATTCGTGCAAGAGGTTAAAAAAAATGTGCTCAGAATCGAAAATATCCACTCACGTTTTACGTTTCAGACATCAAGGATCAAATTTGGTTCGGTGTCTGTCTGTCTGTCAGTCTGTCTCAGGTCAAATCGATGTAATGGGCGTATCACCTATTACCGTTTATCCGATTTTCATGAAATTTTCAGGGATTGTGCGGGTTGGTGTCCAGATGGTCCCATATCAATTTTATTAAATTCTAAACAGCACTTCCGCTTACGCACACGCAAACGCATTTTTGTAGATATGCCAATATTTGAGAAACGGCTGGTTTGATTTGGCTCAAAGTTGTATAAAATATAGGTATTTGTAAAAAATAATGTAAGATCAATTTGATTGAATTCTGTCCATTGGTTTCTCTTATATATGCGCAAACGTGTTTTCCTTGATACATCTATATCTCTAAAACCGCATGTTCGATTTGGCTCAAACTTGGAGAGATTTAGGGATTGGTCAACGTAAATTGAAATAAGCATCAATATTATCAAATTATATCTAATACTCCAAAAAAAAAACTTCCGCTTTCAGATCAGGAAATGTATCATTTGATATGCTTATAGTTTGAAAACGGCGCATTCGATTTGACCCAAACTTGGAGGGAATTAGAAGAACAGTATAGAAATTACTTCGTATCAATTTAATTGAATTCCATTTAATAATTAAAATTAATATAAATAATTGTTAACAATATAATGGCTGTGAAATGTGGAAGGCACTGATCACATGGAGTGGGAGTCAGGTTATTACAAAATTGATATGGTTTATAAAATTTTAGGTTTTATTCAAAAAGTTAATTTATACTGTATTGTTTGGTCGATTCCCAACGTTACTGACATGGCACTTATTGCCGTTAAATAGATTTCGTCTCATTTTTATTAAATTTAAAGTAATTTTTACTATGAATTTGTAATAAAAAAAAAAACGTTTTATTTTTTATTGTGTTTATTTCCATTGAAGTTCAACCAGCTCGTCGTGGTCTCGATTGTCTCCTTAAATATAAAAATTGTGTCAACTTCACTCATATTTTTATATTCAAGCTTAATTAGTTTTGTTCTGACTGAAGAAAATTATTGGTCTCGTTAGCTCCGAACAACAAAAAGTTGAATTTTTCCTATGGATTTTTTATTCCATCCATTTTACGAGATTTTATTGTTAGTGCAAAAGTCGTATACATAAGTTTTCAATTTTTATTCTATTTTTGACATCATGTAGTCTGCAACCGATATAAGTAGTCTACTACTATGAAAAATACCAGAGGGCAATAAAATATAAAGATATACTAATATATCATAAAGAAATAATTCATTTTTTTGCTCTCCTGTAATACACTCAATTTTTATATACGTCATTTGCACTAACAGCAGGGGGATACATATTCAGTATGCACTGGATTTTTTTATTTTTTTTATTACGAGTTTTCAAATATGCAATCTGCAAATGCGGAACATTTTCGCATTTAAGTATTTGCTGATTAACAAAACTTGTGGATATCAAGCCCGTATTTGTTGAGGGATTATGGAATTTTCGAAAATGGCTTCTTCCAGAGATTTTATTCTCAAAAGAAAATTTTTAAACCTTTTAATATAGATATTTTTTAGCAAATGAAAACGGTGAGGAAGCTATACTGACCTTACTTGGCAGACGTTTTTTCACCGGAAAATGTATCGATGGTGTTTACAATTTTATTGTAATACAAATAAAATGAATGCTTATTATTCCATAAGAACTATTTTTTTAGTTATAACCAAATTTTTAATTATTACATATAAATATATTATAATTATAATTTGTGTTTTTTAAATTAAAATATCGATTATATATAGTAATATGGAAAGTAGTTATAAATAGGTATCTAAAATTATTTTTTTCAAGATCTCTATGTCATTTTCGAAGTTAATTTATTGTCATATTAAAAAATTCCGAAGTTTAAACAAAGAAACCGGATTTTTTTTTGTTTTTCGTGGAAATTTTCTAATTTTGACATTTTTGTCTTTCTTGGCCTTGAAAAGAAAGTGTACTAAATATCAAGTTAATCCGACATCATTTACGAGTTCTATGCTCATGTCCACTAAAACCCGTCTTTTGTCTCTCTGTGCGCCGTGTTAAGACGGGAAAAGGGAAAACATAATGTCGGAAACCGAAAGATGGCCGATTTTGTTGAACATATGGATTAAAATATCTCAGAAACTATAAATCGGACCCCCATTTTGTTGGCGAGGGGAATGTTCAGCATTTCATTCTCTTTGTAATGAGCTGTTAATAGTAAATGTTATTATTTTGTGAATATAGAACAAAAAATAGTTTATACACAACTATAATTATCTTATATTGTAGATTTTATTATTTTGTCATTATAGAACAAAGAAAAAATTTATATTTCATCTTATTAATAGTGTGGCCCAAAATCGGTCTTGGTCCTGCACTTTGCAAGACCAAGACCAAAGCCGCCTAGCCGTTGCAAGACCAAGACCAGAACTTGGTAAATCGATTTTTTATAATAAAAATTAAGGCAAAATAGTTACTAATACTCGACAATCTTAGTTACTATACGTAAAGAATTAGTATAACCAATATACCTTTGCATTTAACTCCACTAATTTTTCATTCGGACTAAGTTAGGTTTCTTCTGTCTAAAAAAATACACTAATATCTCTATAGTAATAAGCTAATAAGTAACTGCAGGACTGATACGAGACTTTTGCGCAAGACCAAGACCAAGATTGAGTTTACAAAGACCAAGACTCTTCTCGGTCTCGCATTTGGGCAACAATGATTATTAATCTCGCCGTGTTGACGTTTGACGTCTGTCGTGTTGTCTTGCAAAGTTTTTATATTTAGCCGATAATACATATATATTTTAGTTACCAGCAATTTTCCCACCATTTTAAATTTAACCTTTGATATCCCGAACATTTTGATGATCCGAACTAGTTATGCAATCTACGTGTTCGGATCAAAAAGACCGTCCTTTACATAGATATCTCTAATCCATAAATAAGTTTAAGTATTGCTCTATATAATTAGCTTGTTTAATTTCATACATTTTTCCAACCATTTGTAGTATATTTGGAGGGTAATAGAAAAAAAAAATTCATCATGCTTTTAAAAAGAATACAGCAAGGGCACCATTGATGGACATTTGGTTTATGCCGCCGTAATTATTATACTTATAAACTTCTACATTGGATATATAGAATCTCTAGGGTCTCCTTTTTATATTTACACTTTAAAATTTTAAAAAAATATTTAGTTGTGAAAATATAATCTCCCTTAAAAAAAACATTTTTTTGCACTAGTGATGGACACCCCGAAATTCAATTTTCCAATAATGGACTAGGGCTCGGTACCAGTAATAGACATATTTCAGAAAAAAGCTAAAATCTTTATTTAACTATAAAGATAACGATAAAGAGAGAGAATCTACTTTATTATCATAAAAGGGTGCTGCCCAATTACATTGGGTTGCTTTAAACACAGCATACTTATTAATCGCTACAGACAATTTTCCAAAACTAATATACAATTATATAGTATTAACAACATGTATGAGCATAATATACAATTTTTTTATTTTTTTATCTATATATATATTTTTTTTATCATAATTTTTTTCCTATTTTTTTATTTTTTTTTATTTATTTATTTTATTTTTACTATTTCTTTCATTCATTTATTAGCATTATACATCCCTTTCTGTTCCTTCTCTCACTCTATACATTTTTCTCGTTCCCTAGATTTTCTCCTCTCTTTTCCTAACCTAATTCATAACATGCATACAAACACATAAAGTGCAGTGGACGTGGTCAATAAATAACATAAATGCTCAACTTAATCTTAGCAAAACTGTTATTAGGAAGGTATGAAACACACTGATCTCAAGAGCACTATAGAAACAACATTGATAGGCATTTTAAAATTTCCTTTTACGAACTTTGTTCATACAGTTATCAATAGAGGGCATTATTCTTCAGTATAAAAAAAAA